ATCGACAGCAACTTCAGGCCACCCAAGAAGCCGCCTCGAAGTATCAGTCGCGAGTTGCTCACCATCAGCAGCACCGCCAATCCGACTTCAGACAGCAACAACAACAGCAACAGCAACGCCAAACAACTGGCTTCCGATGCCCGCTTTGCGCGAGGGTCATCCAAGACATCACCGGGATGCGAGCCCACCTCGACCAGCACTATCCGAGGGACTCGCCGACCTGCCCCGTCACCTCCTGCGCCAAGATCTTCGCGCATCCGAATAGCGTACGCAATCACATGAGGCTCAAGCATCCCGTGCAATGGGATCAGATTAAGACGCTCAGGTGGACGTATGTGTGAGGCAAGGGGCCCAAAAGTAACGGACGCCCCTAGCCGCGCCCTTAGGTTGGCCCGCGGTGGCGGACTCATGACAATTAGGCCCAAGTGACCACGCGCTCATCCATCCTAAGCCCCCCCTTTCCGTTGCGAGCAAACATTTAGTCGGCGATTAATTAAACCCTCTCACCACTAAGCCAACCCTTTATTAGCGCCAAAAGTTACGTTTATTTTACTATTGTTCTATCCTGCTCTAAGCTGTTCTATTGTCGTTTTAATTTATCTCTTTTGAGATCTCTGTGATTTTCACGACTGCCGCGAAATCGTTCACCCTATAGCTTTTCACCGGTGATATATGCATTCACACATTCACACATTCACACATTAGCACATAAATACATAAGCACACGCGCGCACTCGCGCGCATGCAATCACGCATCCGCACACGTATGAGCGCGTGTGTGATAGAAAGGAAAGAAAGTCTAATATCCTTTTGAAAATTCCCGAGATGCCACGTCCTACCCAGCCCAGCCCTCTCACTCAATTCCTTTCTCTTTTCTCTGCATGAAATAGAATTTATACTTTCGCGCTGGACGACGACTCTTGTACGTCGCGCAAACTTGATGTCTCTCGCGAGGAAGCGCACACTTTCACATATCCCTCGTGCAAACAAAATACACAACTACGCGCGCACCTACGCGCGCGCACGCACACACGCACACGCGCACACGCACACGCACACACACACACACACACAGGGACAGACACACGTGAACAAAAAACAAAGCTGTACATATATAAGAGCGTCAAAGGAAAGATTATAAATACAAGCATACATATATATCTATATATACATATATACATATATACATATATATATATGCATGTATGTATGTATGTATGTATGTATGTATGTATGTATGTATGTATGTATGTATGTATGTATGTATGTATGTATGTATGTATGTATGTATGTATGTATGTATGTATGTATGTATGTATGTATGTATGTATGTATGTATGTATGTATGTATGTATGTATGTATGTATGTATGTATGTATGTATGTATGTATGTATGTATGTATGTATGTATGTATGTATGTATGTATGTATGTATGCATGTATGCACGTGTAGACAGATGTATGCATGCAACACATACGAATGCGTGCGTGACTTTGTACAGGCGAAGAAGACAGTTTATAGGATTAGACTGTATTTAGAGCAAACTAGTTTAAAAGTTGAAATTATTATATCGCGAAAACAATGTTCCTCCAAGCTGAGTAAGCCAGCCTTACGCTACAAGAAGATAGCTTTAAGATTTAGAGATTCTAGAATATAGTTATAAAAGGCGATTAAAAATAAACAAACAAAAAAAAAAGGAATAAAAGTGAACGGCGATGCAAGTAGCGAAACGTAGTGCAAAGAATAAATAAATAATTAAATAAATGAATAAATAAATAAATAATAGAATAAATGAATGGATAAATAAGAGAATGGAGAATTTTTTAATTTTTTTAAAAAGTACCAGTAGAGAAAATCGATTTTCTTAGACTGATCACGCAAAATATGTAATAATACTAATAAAGCGACATGCTCTATTCACCAACAACTTCACACTGAATGAAAATAATAAATAATTACATACGAGGAGGCAGTCGTAAAAAAGGCTCAAGTATATAATAAAAAGATGACGACGACGACGACGACGACGACTTTACATGAAAGGAAAAGAAAAAGAAGAAAATAAAGCAGAATATAAAGAAGAAATAATTAATGAAATGAAAAAAGAAAATTCTGTGTAACGCATTGACCCAAGAATTTGCCTAGCCTTATTTTTCTACGACTTTGCGTTTTTTGTCAGTATTCCGTAATTGCGAGGAAACAAAAAAAAAAAAAAACAAGAAAAATAAAAAAAATAAATAAGCCGTCTTGGCTTCCAGAAGTGTTGCATTAATAAACAAGATTAAATGGGAGAGAAAACTGCGAGTTTCTCGAAAGATGGCCGATTACAATACCGGAAAATTCACGTTGATTATTCTTATTATTACTACAGGGGCTAACTTTGCACGATTTTACCTTTCTCTTTGTTGGACCTTCATTTTTTTCTTTCTTGCCAAAAAACCAAAGCGATAATAATAATAAATAATAAATAATAAATAATAAATAATAATGATAATACTAATAGAAAAAAAAGAATAAAAACAAATACGAGTAAAAAACAAATAAATAACATAGATGTATTGTACATCCGTGAGCACACGTATGCAATATATAAATATATATAAATATATATATATATATATATATATATATATATATATATATATATATATATATATATATATATATATCAATATACATAATTACGTGTGGGCATGCATATGTATGTGCACATATGTTTATGAATAAATAGGCAAGCAGAACTTGCTAATTATCGTAATGTCAGAGCGAGGAGAGGCAAATCGTGAAAAGAGACGGCTCCTTCGATTATTACATTATGTGCAGCTGTGTCCGGCGACCTTGATAGGCCGTTCTTTATCTAAATGTAATAATTACCCCAGAGGTTATTTATTTAATGTTTGCGCGGCTTTCAAGGTCGACGTTTCTAAGTGTGAATGCGGTTTGCGACAAAAGATCGATAGATTTATCGTGCGTACTATTTTAGACTGAAGAAAATCCGTTGGCTTGTGCATAGTAATTATATGCGGCAGATCATAAAAAAAAAAAAAAAACAAAACAAAAACAAAAACAAAAACAACAAAATGAAAAAAGAAAAAAAAAAGCAAGAGTAAAAAAGTTGTACTATTTCAATAATGCTTTGTATAATAAAAGGTATTTAGTGAAATCACATTGTTATTGATTTGCAAGGCCCCCTTAGCCCTTTAACCAAGCCCCTCCTTTCATTCTTATCTCTGCATCTCTTTCATTCAGCCACTCTGTCTACAGTTGTCCAATGTCCACAGTTCACGTAACCTATGTATGACGTATTGTCGATCCGAATATTTAATATTACTTATGTAAAATAGTCCAGATTGTTCATTAAAAGCTCGACGCTTTCACTCCGGCTCTTATGCAGCTGGTCCATCAAATGTTTTGTAACGCATTATATTTGTGAAATTATATTGTCAATATTATAAGATATTGAATAATTTCGGAATGGGTGACTTTAAGTTTTCAATATCCACCCAACTCACTCTCTATCTATTCCAAAGCTCGCCCAAAATTAGAGCTGGATCGAACGAGAGATAGATAGATAGATAGATAGATAGATAGATAGATAGATAGATAGAGAGAAAGAGAGAGAGAGAAGAGAGAGAGAGAGAGAGAGAGAGAGAAAATAATAAGATGTCATTTATTCCACAGCCCGACGCAGCATTGACATCCTACGAGTGCGAGCGACGGATCCACGGCCTTGTCCCAAGTGCGGTAAGATCTACCGCTCGGCGCACACTCTCCGCACCCATCTGGAGGACAAGCACACTATATGTCCAGGATACCGTTGCGTCCTATGCGGGACGGTGGCCAAGTCGCGGAATTCCCTGCACTCGCACATGTCGCGCCAGCATCGTGGCATAAGCACCAAAGACCTACCGGTCCTGCCAATGCCGAGTCCCTTCGACCCCGAGCTCGCCTCCCGACTCCTGGCAAAGGCTGGCGTCAAGGTCAGCCCTGCCGAGTTGAGGGCACGAGCAAGCCCGACGGGGCCGCGACGAGGCGACATGCGGCTCGAAATACCACGAGGTCCGGGTGGTGCGCCCTCGGAAGCCGGAAGCTCTCTCTGCGGCGGCGACGATCCCGAGGATCTCACGCTGCCTCTCAGTCTCAGGTGAGTACGCTCGAACTTTCACTCCGCCTACTCCTCCTCCTCCCCTCCCCCCCCCTCTTCGCGCCCCCGTCATCCCACCATCATCGACTTTGACTCCAGCGCCCCATTATCGTCCCTCTCACCTTGTGCAACGACAGCGAAACTAACGTAGCAACTAACGTAGGTACGGTTCGCCGACGCCCAACAACAACACCGTGATCACGAAGGTCCCGGGCGGCGGTCACAACGGGAGCAGCAACCATAACCAAACCGGCAACGGCAATGGGAAGGCCACGGCCGGGGCGATCGCCGCCAAGTCCCTGGACACGCTACATGGGAGCCGCGAACCCCAAACGGCGCCCTTCCAGCACGCCCTCGGGCAGCAGCATAGCGCGACCGGCTCGGCGATCGTCGACACCTTCCTGCAGTTTATCGCCGAGAACTCCGGCCTCGGCGCCATGAATCTCACTCACGAGCAGGCGGCCGCCTACGCAGCCGCCCACGCCAAAATGGCTCACATGAGCGCGATGGACAAACTCGCGGGCCGAGGCGGCCTCGTTGTCGAGGACTACCCGATGATCGGCCGGGACGAGGGCAGGGGCCTCGTTCACGAGGACAGACACGGGCACGAGGCCGAGTCGTCCGCCGGCGAGGACGACGACTTTAGCGAGAACGAGGAACCCGAGGGCCTTAAGGCCGAGTAGTGACGGCCCGCGATACCGTATTCCATTCGTCTACCTCGCTCGCGCGCGCCTCGCCAATCCGGGCTACGCGCCCCCCGACTCCCTGCCACCAACGCGCGAACAAAAGCAGACCAGCCAATATCCATCCATGCACCGAGAGAGAGATATATATATATACACATAATGGACCGTC